GATCTAAGGACATTTAACATTACTTCAAACACATCATAATGCATAAGATGTGTAACGCTGTTCGAATTTCTGAACTTCTACTGTTAGGACTGTCTAAGCTGGGATAACTCCTAGTATCTTGCATTTCTAATGTATTCGCGTTATGTATCTTTTTATTTACAGTTTCCTTGTGATATTTCTAGTACTTTCTTCAGTTGCATGCGCGTTATGGTAGTACTTGTAATATTTCTTCCCGTGCAGATGTAGATGAAGCCCTCAAAAGTAGACAATAATAATGATTGTTCCTCTAGCATGGAAAAACTTCTGCTGTGACCCCAGCTCCACCTTCGATCCATTGTGTTCCGCTGCGTAACGCTCTGTTCGGTTACATTTGCGCTGACTGATGAGACAATTTGTCATTTTCCACCAGAAGCGACTCGGCAACTCGCCCCTCTGGTTGACAAACCCTGACAGGGAACTACTACTCACAGTCTAGAAGGTCCCCCAGCAACTGGGACTGCCACCCCGGACACTCACTGACATCATTTTTTTGGTTTGGGTTGCATCAGCTGGCTCGAAAGTAATCATAATTCTCGGGCCCACAGAAAGCGAGAGTGAAGTGCGGAAATGCAAATACTCACGAGCCGGGAGGCCAGAAAAGCGGGCTGACCAAATAGCTGCTGGCCTCATCCAAGAGAACAAAGTGCGATTATCAGGCCTAGGGAACGGCTATGAATAATTATTAAAAATTTAAGAGCGCACGCACTTCATTCGGGGGCATGAAATAAAAATTTAATGGCATTTAAGTGGCCCCCGGCCATGTCCTTTATGTGCGGAGAGACTCCCCGTCAGACCGGCAAAGGCTGAACAAAAAAAAATGGTATTTTTTCTGGCAGGCACAATTAATATTATGGCGTGGCAGCCAAAGTTGATGTGGCACCTTGCCCAGCCCCCGAGAAAAAAAGCGCAGGAAGCACTTAGCGTCGCAACATGCGAAATAAAAATCCTGTAGCAGGATCGGGGCTGGAAAAGGGGACGGGGCGAGCCATTGAACTTGTTTCGGGTGGCTGGCAAAGGTCGCCAATGGGGAGTCGCAAAATGAAAAGCCAAATAAATAAAACGAAACGAAACGAAACGGAGAGCAGTAAAAAGCTCATAAGTGCCGGGCCATAATTCAAACTCGACGCCGTAGTCCGTGCAATTACCGTGTCTCGGGAAATTGCCCGCTGCCTTTGTTCGGCCTTATCGTCTCGCTTATCGGAGGCCCACTGTCTGCATATGCCGGTCGGCGCCTAATTGGGCTAATTCCTACCAGATCCGGACTTAAAGCCGCCTTCCTTGCGCCGGAGTCGCAAAACTTATGCAAAATAAATACGAGCAGAGTACGTGACCAAGTGCGTAATATGCAAAAAGTTGAGCCACGTCCCTACGCCCGCCGCATTCCCAATGAATGTCAGCCAAAGGACACACAGAGGATATATGTTTGTATGTACATCCCTGCTTGTCAGACAACTCATGGCCATGTAGGATCCCCTGGGCCACGCCGTTTGAATTCCTAAGCAGGCAAACAAGCACGAAGCCGGGAGCAAAAGTAAAAGTTTCCCTTTAATTTCGGACAATTTATTTTAATTTGCTGGCAAAAGGAGCGCTGCCGTTCTCACTTGCAAATCGTGTGGCATGCAATTAGGCGACGCTTTCACTAACAACAAAGGCGAATCGCAAGTAATTTGAATAGAGTGACATGGAGCCTGGCACTGTCAACGCTCCAGCTCAGCCAGCGAGTCCCCGAGGAGCCAGCCACTTTCCCGGGCCCGACAGCTGCTGATGCCGAACACGGTGCGTATGATTGATGCAGACTACCAGACGCCGCAAATGTAATTTGCGAGTTTCCCTTTCTGCCATTCGCTCCTTGGGGGACCCCGATGACGGATGAACTTTCGTATAGTTTTTGGTCACCTTAAAGTTCTGTTAGTATTTCGTTTGGCCAAGGTGTAGGTAAAATTAATACTCCTAAACAAATAGGACCTTAAAGATTCAGCAGAGACTGCATCGATCTCCATTTTGGCCAAGGTAAATTCAATCAGGTTCTGCCATTTGCAAGCTAAATTGAAAACATATGTTTCCGCCTTGGCATTCCACCCAAACTTAAGACAAACAGAGAAGGAGGCGGCGGCTGGCGGAAGCTACTTAAAAATGTTGCACACGTACGGCCAATTGTGAGCAAACATTGTAGAGGAGGAGGAGGAGCCCTGGGGGGAAGTCAAGGAACTTTGCCGCCATCTCCCGAATTCCCCTGACAGGCTGGCAGCGGCAGCTTCATCAGGCTCCCACATAAACATCCTCATCCACATCATCATCATCGTCGTCTTTCCCATCATGAGGCTCATCAGCATCAACTTGTCTGTCCCTACATCGCCCCAAGAGCTACTAAATTTCACGCAATCACGACCACACACACACACAGCGAGTCCTTGGTCCTTCTACAATTTTCTCTGCTTTTTTATATTTTGTGTGCTGCCAACTGCCTAATAAAATATTTAGTTGCTGGGAGTCATTGACAAGTTTGCAGACAAGGTTCTTCGGGTTTTGTGGTCTCTTTATGCTCCTTGATGAGACACAAGCGAGGCGGACAGGTGAGTTGTGCCTGTTTCTCACCTTCCGACTCCGCATTTTGCTATACACAGCAAAAAAATGCGGTAAGTTTATATACAGAGATCTTAATGTATTAAAAATACTACAAGTCGCCTTTAGACTAGATTAATAGTAATCAATTGTAATAATTATTTATTATGGGGTATGGGAGTATTGTGCTTTTCTCTCAGTATACCATTTCCAGTCTCAGTTTTTTACGAGGCCTCAAATCTATTAAGGGCCCATTGACAGCGCTTTGCTCCAGGAAATAATGAAAAATTCAAAAACCAATATTTAAAATGCCATCAAATCAAACAAAGTGCAACAATGTGTGATCCCAAATCGGGGTCGCTCAGTCCCGTTTTTTGTATCCTTTCAGCGTTTAATATCTCATCAAGTGTTGCGCTTTACGACTACTTAAAATCCCATAAAAAACAAAGCGAAATAAAACTGTGGTGAAGCGGATCCCGAGCAAAATCAACGCCCAAAGCCGTAAATTCCCTCCCGTCGGTTTTGGGTGTTTCCTGGGCTGAAGGCTGCTGAAAGGAAAGCGAAAGGAAATGCAAAGGCAAAAACAGCCAGAGAGCAACGACAGCGGCAAGATTTAATGATGCAGCATGATTTGCGCATAAAAAACGGAGCGGAATAGAATAGAATCAAATGGAATGGCAGTGGCTGGAGCAAGGATCGGAGTCGGACTCGGAGTCGGAGTCGGAGTCGGGTGGTGTGCCAGGAGCAGAGGCATTATGACTTGACAGACATCGGCAACTGCTGGACAAGCTTTGATAAAATGCAGCTCACACACACCCACAGCACTTACATCCTCACAGTTGTCCTGTAGTATCACACGTACACGTATATAAATATATATATAGTATGTTCTAACATTTTAGTTGCGCATAAAATGTTAAAGGACTTTCCTCATACTCTATGTGTGCAGCTGGGGGAGGAGAATGAGGAAGCAACTCGGTTGGCTGAGCAAACGAAAGTTATATATGCACGTTACATATGCACACTCTATACATTTATCTATATACATATATTTGCAGGAATTTATATGCAAGCCTGTCAGTCAGCAGAGGGTTGAATAAACCCAGGATACCCAAGCGAATTTGGTAGAGGTACAATGGGGCTCCGGGAGCTCTCAAATTCCACATCTATTTCGACAAAGAACTTTTATTCCCTACCAGGTACTACTCGTAGGGCTAAAGTTCATGTTAGATTTGTTGCAATGTAGGAAGAAAGCACCACTGAAGATCCTATGAAGTATAAATATTCATTAAGTTAATAAGAAACCTGTAGAAAAACCTAAAGAAATTAAAGAAAGCTTTGTTAAATATGTATTTTATATATATGAGATAAGTTAATACCATGGCACAAATATAGTTAGTGTGTTTAGTAATCTGTTCAATTTTTTTATTTTTTAATTTTTTTGTTGCTTTCTTATATCACTGTAAAAATACGAAATAAGAGTTTTTCACAATTAGGGAATATACATATGTACATACATACATATGTACATATGTACATGTATTGATATTTTCTTCCTCTCGATCTGCTAGGTTAAAAACTTAATTTGAAGACATTTGTGGAAAAAAAAAGTATTGGTAAAAATTTAAGCAAAAAAAAAAATTATTTGCTTAATAACTAATAACATAACATTAACATAACTAATTACCGAGTTTTGTTTTTATATGTTTGTAAATGAAAATGTGTTTCACATATTGGTTAAATATTTCCCTTATATTTTCTTCTTATGGGAAACGTTCTATACACTGTGATTATATGTAGCTATGGAAAATGTTCTATTACATAATTCCGGAATAAAATATAGAATATTGATTTTTACTACATGTATAAAGCTTCATCCAGCAAAAGTTCAGACAACCGAGCGGGTACAATAAAATAACAGGACTGACGCAGCTTTTGAGGGGTATCACAAAGATCTTTTTATTAGGTGAGAAATATTTCCTTCTTCAAGCTTCTGTCTAAAATATAAAACTTTCTGAAAATGTATTAAAAGACCGAAACACTTGAAATGTTCATAAAGTAGAAAACCAGATATTCCTTAGGCGTCTTGGTTTTATTTCCAAGTAGACGAAATATTTTTCTCTATGTGTATTGAGAATTATTTTCCATTAAAAAGCGCGATTAAATAAAAGCTCTCAAATCCGCAAGCTTTTTCGTTGAACTTGAGATCTTTTTGCATAATTATGAAATTCAAGCGACAACAATTTCCCGAGAGAAAGAGAGAGACAGAAAAGCTCCACTTGTGAAATTACCAAAATCATACGAAAGAGAAAGAGAGAGCTAGGGAAAAAAGCTTTATTTATCGATTCTCGGTCCGAATAGGTGTGCTTCAGTAGAGCTTAACCTCTTGAGAGGCGATATTTCCCCCCTCCTAATGCAATTTATCACATTCGGCTTGGGTATAAATTGTGCAGCCTTTCGGCTCTCAAATCAGTTTTCACTTAACAAACTATCAGCTCGCAAGTGCTTACAACCATAAACCCAACAACATGGCTTACCTCGAAGTTTGCCTGGCCCTATTGGGCCTCGCTCTGCTCGTCTACAAGTGGTCCATTGCCACCTTCCGAACTTTTGAGAACCGTAACCTGCCCTACGAGAAGCCCTGCCCGTTCTTCGGGAACGTGGCTGCCTCTGCCCTCCAGCGAATCTCATTGAATAAGCAGCTCACCGAATTCTACCTACGCACGCGCCACCAGTAAGTATCTCATTCCCCACCATAAGCGATCCATATTCTGACGGTCCACTCGGAACTCCAGCAAGGTCGTGGGCTTCTTTAACCTCCGCAAGGTCTACGTGCAGCTCAACGATCCGGAGTTGATCAAGAAGGTCTGCGTGAAGGACTTTGATCACTTTCCAAACCACCACTTCATCCTCTCCACCAACGAGCGTCTCCTGAACGACATGATCAATGTGATGAAGGATCAGCGCTGGAAGCGCATGCGGAACACCTTGACCCCGGTTTTCACGGCGGCCAAGATGCGTAACATGTTCACCCTGATGAACGAAAGCTTCGCAGAGTGTCTGCTGCACTTGCACACGTTCGATAAACAGGACTTTGAGGTGGATGTAAAGCTTCTGTTTAACAAGCTCTCCAGCGATGTGATTGCCACAACGGCGTTCGGCCTAAAGGTCAACTCGTTCGAGGACCCAAAAAATGAGTTCTACTCCGTAGGTCAGGAGCTCATCTTCTCCACGGGAATTCAGTTCTTCAAGTTTACGCTATCTGCCCTCATGCCCAAGGTTTTCACGGTAAGTTCATCAGCTTATAAGAGTCCCCCACGGAGTATCTAATCGGTATAATTTCCCAGCTCTTTAACATGAAGATATTTGACGGCAAGAAGGTGGACTACTTTGTGAGCCTAGTGGTGGATGCCATGAAGCTGCGAGAGCAGCAAAACATCACCCGTCCAGATATGATCCAGTTGATGATGGAGGCCAAGAAGGAATCTGAAAATAAGTGGACGGACGACGAGATCGTAGCCCAATGCTTCATATTCTTCTTCGCCGCCTTCGACAACAACTCCAACCTGATATGCATCACGGCCTACGAATTGCTTAAGAATCCCGCCATTCAGCAGCGCCTCTACGAGGAGATCCTGGAGACAAGGGAGACCCTGAAGGGTGAATCATTGACCTACGACGCTGTGCAGAAGATGCCCTACATGGACATGGTCGTCTCCGAGGTGCTGCGCAAGTGGACCCTGGCCCCCTCCACGGATCGTGTCTGTTCTAAAGACTACACCCTTACCGATAACGATGGCACAAAGCTCTACGACTTCAAGGTGGGTGACCGCGTGACCATTCCCATAGCTGGTCTTCATGGCGATGACCGCTACTTCCCCGAACCCAAAAAGTTTGATCCGGAGCGCTTCAGCGAGGAGCGGAAGGGTGACCTCGTGCCATATACTTACTTACCCTTTGGCGTGGGGCCTCGAAGCTGTATAGGTAAGCTAACTGCAGTTTCCACGTTTTACATAGAAGCTTATCAAGCGTTATTCCATTTCAGCCAGCCGTTTTGCTCACATGCAGGCTAAGGGTATGTTGTACCACCTGCTGCTTAACTTTAAGGTGGAAGGTACCCCGAAGACACCCAAGGACATGTTGGAGGAGGCACGGAGCTTCTCCCTGACTCCTAGAAGCGGACTTTACATGCGATTGGTGCCACGCGAGTGAGCCAATCTCATTAACGAAAAGACTGAAATTGTGATACCTGATACTTTATGGATCTTTTGATTATGGAACGCGAATATGACAAGACGTATATCAGTATTATGTATTGTTATAGCTATAACTAAAAGACTAAATACAATAGTAATACTGAAACTAATTATTATTAATCATGTGCTCAAGGTGTTATACGGTAAATCGCATTAGGTGCTGGTAATTAACTCAGAGGAATACATGTGCTTTTTGAGTTGTCAAGGAAGTCCTGGCACTTCCCAAATCCAAAACTCTTACATTTAGCGTCGCCCATATATTGAATAGTCTCTCCCCCAATAATAAAACTCAAGAAAATGAGTTATCTCCTTTAAAGCAGTTTGGGGTTCGGCTATGAATTCGGTTCATTTTAACCGGCGAGAAAGAATGCAAAGCTTTCACAGAATGAATCTAAGAATAAACTGTCTCGTTCGCTACTAAGTTTTTGCATGTGCATTGCAGGCAAATCATATAATATAGAAACAAGAACCTAACATGAAGTTTTAAGAATTAAAATAAAACTAATTTAAAAATTAGCATTTAGATTTTCAATATGAAAACTTATTGTAGTCATATTTTCTCCAACTAAACGAATGTTCCGAACGGTTTTAAAATACCGCGATATATAAATATTTCACTTTCAGCTTAGAATCGAAACAAAAGGTAGACCAACAAAAGTAAGGTTTTCTTTTAAATTTTAAACTTGTTTGATCCGAACTAAGGCGACAGCCATTTAATTAGTTACAACTATTTTGTACTAAATGTTTCATCTGATTATACTGATGATATTTTATATCAGTTTGGAAGGTACGATTTATTATTTATTTTCTTATTGTACTGTAAATGTATTAATGCATTGGGATAAATAGTAATTTCATCAGTTACCAAATGCATTTGTAGGCTTTCTTTTTTTTATTATCTGTAAATATTTATGTGAAATACTCGAGATTAAGGTTCGAGTACATATGTATGTACATATGTATGTATATATTGGCGTACCATAGTAATATACAAATGCAATGCAACAAATGTAGAGATAAATACTATTTAAACAAAGAACAAAGTCACTTCAGATAGCCTTACTGGAGATGTTAAGCATTGTAACTATATAAATTATAAACCTTATTTGAATTTATATGATATAGTCATATCTCATGGTTGATACAAATAACAATGATTTAATAATATTTATAATATATATTAATATTTGATCGCTTCAAAGGCAGCTCTATATTATTATGATACATTTATAAGAACCCTCTATATTTATTTAACCAAATCATGTAAACCTTATTCCGGCCGAAAATCTCCGCTGTTATGGCCGATCCCTGTAGCCTAAGTTTGTAACTTCTGCCTACAGTGCACTATGGGCCAGGCGGCCCGGTTTTTGGCCAAAAGGGTCAAAAATGGTTTTAAGAAAATGAGAAAAAAAAACAATTGCATTATAAAGAGGATAGATTAAGCTATCTTTCTTCAACATTTTATTACTCTCTATTCAATGGGTACGAGATGGCAGCTAATCAAATTGGACATTTGCGTTTAATTTTTTCATTTTATTGGCAAAAATAAAAATTTCCTGCCCCTATGCGGGCAGCTATAGTCACATCGAAATGCTTTTAATGTAACTAATAGAACCCAAAATTTAAAAAAAAAATGTTTTTTATATATTACACTTATTATTTTACAAACAAATTTAAAAAGAACACAGTTTTTAACCCATTTTTCACAAGTTGTGATTTCAAACTTAGGGTACCTCGACGTACCACCTCCGATCAAATTGAAAAAAATTTTAAAAATAACTTTGAATATTTCGCTTTTACGTATAAGCTGTCCCAAATTCGCACTCTGAGGTTTTTTATACCAAAATTAAATTTTTAAACTTATATTATTAAAAAAAAGTCTTTATAATACTGCCTAAAGGCAGGCAAGAAATAATATATTGCAAGCATTGACAAGCTAAAGTACAATTTAAAAAATTTGTGGCTTACTTTTAGTGCCACATTTTACAAGCATCTATAAAAATGATTTTTTTAATGAAAACTTAAAAAAATTATTGGTTTAAAAACTACTTTTTTTTTTGTTTTTGTTGTATTAGAGACCATATTGGAAGTAAAAAACAAAAATTGCGGTAGATTGCTTCAAAGACGTTCATGTAATTGAGACTAGAAATTTGAACTTAAGGGGCTTAAAACTAAAAAAACTACTGCATTTAATGCAACAAATATATTTTTTCTAATAAATATTATCTAAATACTCATTTCTGTAAAGTGAGATCCAAATCGAATTCCTGGTTTTTTATTTTTTATGAAAAACAAAAAAAAAAGGAAATATTTTTCAACTTTGGTAGGGATTATTTTCATAAAAAAAATATTTTCTATTACTAATTTTTAAACACATAAAATTCAATGTTTTGAGAATGTGCATGCCAAATTTCACGTCTCTACAAAATGTATTTTAGAAGTTACAGAGTTTTGGCCAAAATATGAACTTCCTGGCCCATAGTGCAGTGTACAAAATAAAAATAAAATAAAATAAATTATTATGAATCATATGCTTTGAGGTAATTATCAGATTTGAATGGACGACCCTACACTCAAGTTGGGTTTTCAAATTATTTATTTTGAATAGGTTTTTTTTTAATGATTAGATTGTGCCGCTACAGATAGGGCCAAAGCTCAGCTACCAACGGAACGTAAAAGCTTTATAAGAAATAAAAATATTGCTGATCAGAACACTCTCAGAGTTGAGAGCTTCGCTCAGAAATTTAACAATATATAAAAAGGCACTGGGAGAATATTAAGCTCTCTGAACAAGCAACAATTACCCAAACACAGCGCCAGGTTCTCCTTTTTTCACATCACAACATCAACAGTCATAACAAACAACTTCTAACCTGTTTAGAAACGAAATCTCTCTCATTGCAAATCAATATATGTATATATTATTACGCTACACATTTACTAGTATGTGTAATCTACTACGGAGGGTATAAATTGCGCTGGCAAGTACTTGTGGGTCTCAGTTCGGAATAAAATTGGCCATTGGTGACACCTCAGTCATGGCTGTACTGGAAATATGTCTGGCCCTCCTCGGCATCGGTCTATTGATCTACAAGTGGAGCACGTCCACCTTCAAAACCTTTGAGGAGCGGGGCCTGCCCTTCGAGAAACCTTACCCATTTGTGGGCAACATGGCTGGGTCGGCCCTGCAGAAGGCCTCCTTCCAGAAGCAGCTCAGCGAGTTCTACGATCGCACTCGCCAGCAGTAGGTTTATTGGTTTATTCCCTTCCCACTTTTCCTTTAAGGGCTAATGATATTTCAGCAAAATTGTGGGTTTGTTTAACCTACGCACTCCCATGATCCAGCTGAATGATCCCGATATGATTAAGAAGGTCTGCGTTAAGGACTTCGACTACTTCCCTAACCACCAGCTCTTCATTACTACAAAAGAGCGCCTGATAAACGACATGCTCAGTGTCATGAGAGATCAGCGCTGGAAGCACATGAGGAATACTCTGACCCCGGTATTCACGGCGGCCAAGATGCGCAACATGTTCACCCTGATGAACGACAGTTTCGCCGAGTGCCTCCAGCACCTGGACACCGCATCGGGAGCAGCTTCAGGAAAAAGTTTCGAGGTGGACATGAAGGTGTTGTGCAACAAGCTTTCAAACGATGTCATCGCCACCACCGCTTTTGGGCTGAAGGTGAACTCGTTCGATAATCCGAACAATGAGTTCTACGAGATTGGTCAGTCCTTGGTCTTCTCCCGCGGATTTCAGTTCTTGAAGTTTATGTTCGCCTCACTCGTCCCAAAGATTTTCACTGTAAGCGATCTCTTTTACATGTCGAGGATAACTTAATAGCATGTATTTTCTTTTAGATGTTTAAACTGACCATCTTTGAGGCCAACAAAGTCGATTACTTCGTCCGCCTGGTGGTCGAGGCCATAAAATATCGCGAGCAGCACAACATCCATCGACCCGACATGATCCAGCTGCTGATGGAGTCCAAGAAAGAGTCCCAGGATAACTGGTCGGACGACGAGATCGTGGCCCAGTGCTTCATATTCTTCTTCGCCGCCTTCGAAAACAACTCAAACCTGGTCTGTACAACTGCCTACGAGTTGTTGCACAATCCCGACATCCAGGAGCGCCTCTATGAGGAGGTGAAGGAGACCCATGAGGCGCTGAAGGGCGAGTCCCTCAACTATGACGCGGTGCAAAAGATGGAATATATGGACATGATCATATCTGAGTCCCTGCGCAAGTGGACCCTAGCCGCTGCCACCGACCGGCACTGCTCCAAAGACTACACCCTTACCGATGAGGACGGCAACAAGGTCTTCGACTTCAAGGTGGGCGACCGCATCAATATACCAATCTCTGGTCTGCACATGGATGACAAGTACTTCCCCGATCCCAAGAAGTTCGATCCGGAGCGCTTCAGCGAGGAGCGAAAGGGTGACCTGGTTCCCTACACATATCTGCCCTTCGGAGTGGGTCCGCGCAACTGCATAGGTAAGAGATCCCTTCGATTACGTTAGCACCCGAGTACTCAAGGGAGTCAGTGTTTAAAAAACAATTTTTAATACTAATAATATGTAATAATTTCTTCTTATGCAGGAAATCGCTATGCCTTGATGCAGGTCAAGGGTATGTTGTATAACCTTCTGCTGAAATACAAGATCGAAGCTTCACCGAGAACTGAAAAAGATCTTTGGGGATCGGCTCGCGGCTTTAACTTTACCCCCCGATCCGGATTCTGGATGCAGTTCGTTCCCAGAAAATAAGTTGATATTAAAATACTTTTGTTGTGAATTAAAGAATAACAATACATTATAAAAAATTGGTTTATTTTTATTAAATCCATGTTTAAAATTATTATGCCTGGGACACAATTTCCATAATTCAATAAAAGCCCGAACAAAGCAGAATCTTGAATTTCGGCTTGAATTAAATTGAAATCAAGTAATATATTTTGAACTGACCTTTTCTTAAAATAAATATGGGAGTTATTCAGCAATATATTTGGCATGGTTGCATTCTGATCGCAGGCTATACTGCTGCCTCTAGCACTTTTTTACTTCATTGATTACATGATTTTTCATTGGTTATTGGCATTATTATTATTAATCGTAATTTGTTTTGCATAAATAGTGATTATTATTAAATGATAATTGATCAACTATGTATGTATGTAGTGAACTGCATACCCTTGCAGATTGCTAATAAATATTAAATAATTTATACAAAACTAATTATATATTTTTACATTAATTAATAACTACGTAATGCCTGCTTTCGTTATATTCACCTATAATTATTTACTTTACAGTTTTATAGATACAGTTCATTCACAGTGTTGGTTTTTTCTCAACTATATATGATATGATCATAATATTCAAATCGAAATTTTGAAATAATACAAGTCGGCTATATTACAAACAAGATGACAAAAAGTCGGATAAGGAAAAGGTTATAAGATGTTTCTACAAATTTTTCGGCTAGTCGGCTGCTAATCAAGATTCTGGGCACTAATCGAGGGGTTTCCGCAAAAGTATATGCCTATATTTCCACCAGATCTTTGTTAATATTTTGTATTTTGTACAATTTTGAACATAATTTCTAAAATTTGCAATTTAAAATTTCTCTTCACCACTCATTGTTAAGGCGGAAAGCTTGTGCACATAGCGACAGTCAAAAAATAATATAAAGTTAGTAGTAATTAGAAATAGGAAAAACAATTTTTATTCTGTTTAATCTGAAAAAGCAAACGAACCTCCAGATTTTCCAAATTAAGCTGCCACTGGCAAGGCCGAGTCGCAATCTAATGCTTATCACGTTTTTATACTTCAGTAATGTACTGCAAATGTTAAGTTTATTTCATCACCTGTCGGCGAATCTGATCGAATCTATCTTTACATTATCTGATTTTACAATTTAAGCAGTTTTTAATATTTCCAAAAAATTCTAGTTTATATACTAGAAATGGAAACTATCTTCCTCCTTAATTTTGAGATCAACGATAGTAACGCTCCTGGGAAAGACATGTTTGAAAGGGTATACATGGTTCGATATCACAAAGTATTAGAATTTTATCTTGAAATTGCATTGGTAAAAACATTACTTTCATCAGCCCAAATATGTTATCGATACACCTGACAACGTACTTGCTTTTATAATACTTGATTTGATAGATTATTATGCCTTATCATAATAAACGGTTGCAGAGTTTTTTGCATTTTAAAGTAAAACAATGATTAGAATACACGCGGTGAGCAAAAGAGCTGGCTTATCACAGAGTTCCCTAGTGAGAGCGTTCTCCAATACATTTCAAGTTTATAAACAAATCAATAATCTAAAACGTAACAACAAGTTCTCAGCGGCAGATACGCGTTTATGTGTGTGTTCCCAACAGAACACACAATAACATAGAAATCCAAATGTGTCTAACCTATTGAGAACTGATATCTCTCTTTAAGATAATCAAATACAATTGTTATTCTATACACATATACTTATACTAAGCTCGACGGGTATAAATTGCGCTGGCGAGTAGTTGACCACATTAATTCACAATATACTGACCAAGGGTTCTAACGCTACTGTCCTAGCCATGGCTGTACTAGAAATATGTCTGGCCCTCCTGGGCATCGGTTTTCTGATTTACAAGTGGAGCACGGCCACCTTTAAAACCTTCGAGAAGCGGGGCCTGCCCTTTGAGAAGCCTTACCCATTTGTGGGCAACATGGCTGGATCGGCCTTCCAGACGACCTCCTTCCAGAAGCAGCTGACAGAGCTCTACGATCGCAATCGCCACCAGTAAGTACGTTGGTATTCTATCCGCACTTTGCCTTTAAGAGCTATTAATATTTCAGCAAAATTGTAGGCATCTTCAATATGCGCACTCCCATGATCCAGCTCAACGATCCCGAGGTGATCAAGAAGATCTGCGTTAAGGACTTCGACTACTTCCCTAACCACCAAATATTCCTAAGCCCCAACGAGCGTCTGGTCAAAGACATGCTGAATGTGATGAAGGATCAGCGCTGGAAGCACATGAGGAATACTCTGACCCCGGTATTCACGGCGGCCAAGATGCGCAACATGTTCACCCTGATGAACGACAGTTTCGCCGAGTGCCTCCAGCACCTGAACACCGCATCGGGATCAGCCTCAGGAAAAGGTTTCGAGGTGGACATGAAGGTGTTGTGCAACAAGCTTTCAAACGATGTCATTGCCACCACCGCTTTTGGGCTGAAGGTGAACTCCTTCGATAATCCGAAGAATGAGTTCTACAGTATCGGCCAGAATCTGGTATTCTCTAGAGGGCCCCAGTTCTTCAAGTTCATGCTGTCCATTGCTGCTCCTAAGCTCTTCCAAGTAGGTTCAATAGCTTAACCCCAAATGAAACACATTAATATTTTATTAATTATTATAATTATTATTAATATTTTCCTTTAATTAACCCATTCTAGTTTTTCAAATTGACCATCTTTGATGCCAGCAAAGTCGAGTACTTCGTGCGCCTGGTGGTGGATGCCATAAAATACCGTGAGAAGCACAACATCCATCGACCTGACATGATCCAACTGCTGATGGAGTCCAAGAAGGAGTCCCAGGATAACTGGTCGGACGACGAGATCGTGGCCCAGTGCTTCATATTCTTCTTTGCCGCCTTCGAAAACAACTCAAACCTGGTCTGTACAACTGCCTACGAGTTGTTGCACAATCCCGACATCCAGGAGCGCCTCTATGAGGAGGTGAAGGACACCAAGGAGGCTCTAAGTGGCGGATCACTGAACTACGATGCTGTTCAGAAGATGCCTTACATGGACATGGTTATATCTGAGTCCCTGCGCAAGTGGACCCTGGCCGCTGCCACCGACCGGCACTGCTCCAAGGACTACACCCTTACCGATGAGGACGGCAAAAAGCTCTTCGACTTCAAGGTGGGCGACCGCATCAATATTCCAATCACTGGTCTCCATATGGATGAGCGGTACTTCCCCGAACCCAAGAAGTTCGATCCGGAGCGCTTCAGCGAGGAGCGGAAGGGTGACCTGGTTCCCTACACATATCTGCCCTTCGGAGTGGGTCCTCGCAACTGCATAGGTAAGCGATCCCTTCGACTTCGTTAGCACCCGAGTACTCAAGGGAGTCAGTGTTTAAAAAACAATTTTTAATACTAATAATTTCTTCTTATGCAGGAAATCGCTATGCCTTGATGCAGGTCAAGGGTATGTTGTACAACCTTTTGCTGAATTACAAAATCGAAGCTTCACCGAGAACTGAAAAAGATTTGTGGGGTTCGGCACGCGGCTTTAACTTTACCCCCAGGTCCGGATTCTGGATGCAGTTGGTTCCCAGGAAATAAATTTATGATGATATTAAAGCCATTTAAAAAATAATAAATATTTGTAACGACGCAATAACAAAAAGCTATTTTAAAATACAAGTTTTTAAGTAAACTTTTTTTGTTTCTTGTTGCCCAAAAGTATGCTTTAGTTAAAAATGTATTTTCTGGATTCACTAAATTTGTTTAATTTTTATACCCTTGCAGGGTATTATAATTTCAGTCAGAAGTTTGCAACGCAGTGAAGGAGGCACCTCCGACTATATAAAGTATATATATTCTTGATCAGGATCAACAGCCGAGTCGATCTAGCCATGTCCGTCTGTCCGTCTGTCCGTCTGTCCGTCTGTCCGTCTGTCCTTCTGTCCGTCTGTCCGTCTGTCCGTTTCTACGCAAACTAGTCTCTCAGTTTTGAAGCTATCTGAATGAAACTTTGTAGTTAGCCTTCTATATACTCTCACTCGTATATATGTCGGAACGGGCCGGATCGGACGACTATATCATATAGCTGCCATAGGAATGATCGGAAAATTTTTACAAAAAAATTTTTAACTTTTTCAGTTTTCAATAGAATTGGATCAAATTTGAGATATAGCCATTTTACTATACTCTACAATTTTGCATAAAATTTTATGAAAATCGGACTACTATATCATATAGCTCCCATAGGAACGATCGAAAAATTAATACAATTAAATTTATAACTTTTTTAGTTTTCAGCTGATTTTCATCAAATTTGAGGTATAGCCATTTTATATTAGTCTTAAATTTTGTGTCAAATTTCATGAAAATCGGACGACTATATCATATATGTGCCATACAAACGATTGTTTGATGTAGACGAAAAATGCAAATCTGCGAATGTAAAACTGCAAATATAATATGTATAGGTGAATGAAATGAAAGCAGGTATTACTTCATTTTTTTTTAACACAAATAAATATAATTTATATTGTTGAGATTCCAAGTCATAGAAGTTCTATCTGCAAGGGTATATAAACTTCGGAGTGCCGAAGTTAGCTTCCTTTCTTGTTGTAGGATAAAAAATAGCATAAGCCCGAAGTACCTTTTTATTTCAAATCGTTTCAGTTCAAAGCCAAAGTTCGAGGCTAGATTAAACTAATTGGAGGCCAGTACGAATATGATCTGTCGAAACAGAAAAAAAAGGATGCACAGCAATTGTCTAATAGATTTTATTTTTTCCATTTAATTGTACTGACGTATGAGTTCGTCACAAATATATATATTCAATATATTTTATTTATTTCTTTCTTTTATGATCTGACAATGAATTAACGCATGGAAATCGGATCTTTTTTAAATCATAAGATCGCTTCCAAAGAGAATTTTTTGTTTAAAGGGGTTTTGGTTTAAAACCTTATTTATTTATTGTTATTTGAGCTATTTTAAATAGGTTATTTAAAATCCATTAAAATACTTTAAATTTTAGTTGCCTCTTAAGATTACATTTCTAAATACGAAAACCAATTGATATTCAATTATTAGAATACCATAAAAATGTGAATGAGCTTAAAATTTGATTTCTTTTGGGATTTAATTATTGTTGGATTGTTTGATGTTTGAAGCATTTGCTTTTTATTGGCTTTGTTTTTATTTTTTAACCACCTTCGGTCAAATTGCAGGAATTTGGGAATTATGTTTGTTTGACTAAGTTCTAGTGGAGAACAAAAGGTTGGTCGAAATAAATACATAGAAGCTTATTTAATTTTATTATTATTATTTATTATCTTATAGATCTCATTGTAATCTTACGATTTGCAGTAAAGTACGTTTTATACACTTTACTCCTATATATAAACGGAGATAGCAAATATCTGATTAAATCGATTTGGGTGTTGATACTGATTAAGTTAATACTTAATTACTTTATGATAAGTATAACTATATGCAAAAATTAGGCAGTCATTGTGACTGTTTGTCGGACTGATTGTTTATGTGTACTTTTATAAGGCTGATTAAAAAATATATGCAATGCAAAATAAGAATGCTAGTTCATTGTTATAATTTATAACTATATACAAAGAAAAATCGATCTTTTGTCCACTCACATTCTTTGAACGGGTGATGAAATAATCTTTACAATTTAAATTGCAGGATAAAGAAGTGTAAAGGATAAATTAAAAAAAATATATGTATGTGGATATGAGAATTTTTAAAATAATAGTGATGACTTACCAGAAAATGCCATTTTTACTTGAATTAATAATCTCAAAATTGACTTAACTAGATATTGTTTCGCTTTAAATGTGGCCAAAATATAAAGTGAAAATTTTCGAATTGTGTGCGTTATATGTTAAAACAATTCACTTTAATTACAAAAATTAAAACAAAAATAATTATAATATGAAATAAATTGAAGGCCTTAAAACTTTCCTAATCAAATTCTACTGCACAATTTGAATTTTTGAAAAAGTAACGAAATACTATAAATAGTTTATTTTAAATCAATGCAAAAAGATTCAAGTTACAAAAGATTTCTTTCTTCTTTCCGCGTCGGCTTTGGCAAAATCAAAACAAAAGACGACTCTCAAAATGAAATGAATGAAGTTCGATTTCATATTCTGTTAGCATTTAATTATATTTTCTGTCAAAACGCTGTTGGCTTATTTGAGGTTTTAACCGTTTGCTCGTTACTGTTTTTGTTGTTAGTTTACAATCGCCTGTGGTCAAGATGCTAAATTATACAAACTGTGAAGATAAACAACAACGAAGGCTTGATGTCTAACGGCTGCTTGTCGGTCTAGGTTTACATCATATTCAGTCGTAGTGAAATGACAGACAAGAGTTCTGGTGGAATGACATAATCAATTTATGATTGGAGAGAGCGAAAGGTGGGAAGAAATAAGTGCCCAAGGGACGCATCTTAAAGAACTTGCCGAGCTCCAATATAGAGGCCACTGGCAAGGCCGTTTTAAATTTCAGCTTTATTGCATCACACTCTTGCATATAATATTTATTTCATCACCTTAGGCAGTTTTTGCAAGTGTAATTAGTGCAAAACTAAAGATAAGGCAACGTTTAAATCTAAACGGTAGGAAAATATTAACAAGTAATATAAAATAAACAATATACCATATGAATATGAGTTTAGTTTAAGTTTTCAGGTTTCAATTGATAAGTTTCTTTAGTTGAGGCAAACATACACCACACATATAATATTTATGAACATACTACATATATATGCTTCTATACTGATTAGAGTTAAGTGGACTTTTGGTTATTGTCAAAGGAACCACCAACGATGTCATTGTCACCTCAACTTTTCTCTGGATGATTTTAATAGTGAATGAGTGACATTGAGTCACATTGTTTGACCATAATAACTCTCTTTATTTGCGTTTGCAGAATGTATTCTCTGATAAAAGTAAGTAAAAACTTTGTCAAATTCCCCAGGTTGCACCTTGAACTTGATGCATTGAAGATAAGCCCATACCCGGATACATTGAAAACACATTGAAATTGTTTTAGAATAAAATACAAGTACATATATTTTACTTTTGATTATGTTTCCATACACACTTGTTGATATACATAGCATTGCTTAGACAAGTAAACCCAAAGGTATCAAATAATTCTTATCATATGTTTTCGATTCGGTCGATTGCCCAACTTTCTACCCTCCGAGAACTCTGGACACATAATTTAGCCTTTATATAACAATTTCCCTTTCACGCTCTGGAGAAAGCTTGCAAATTACATAAAACGCTTGGCCAGCGAACAAAAGAATCTGTAATTTGAATTGCCAAACAAACAAACAAAAAAAAGAAACCACAAATGTTGTAAATGCTAATCGTTAATCGTTGTTTTGGTTGCTGGAAGAGCTGTTTCTCGAGGCGTTCTGCCAATTTTTGCCATTTTAAATTATTGCACATTTGGAAACAGATAATACTTTCACTCTCTCGGAGATTCTTTTGTTGGCCATCGATTTTGGATTCGTTGGAGTTTTTATTGTTCGTTGATTGCGTTGCTTGTGGTCTCTGCTGGTCGGTTGTTTTGTTCTGCTTAATCAAACACTTAGAATACTTAATTAGCTATGGTAATGCCCCCACGGCAGGTGTATAGTTAAATGCAAATATGATATAGTTTCAGCTTTGTACAACGATTTCTCTCATCTCTGATCTCATATGTGTCTCCGTGTATAATACATCTCGATATGTTATTTACAGTCACGGTCCAGTGTCCTTGGCAGCCGCATTTACAGTCTTCAGACGCTGTAGAGGCGTCCGTTGCTGGTGTGCTGGGAGCTGGCGGAGTGGCGGGCCTTTCCCAGGCCGAAGAAGTTCCAGACCCGCCTCAGGCAGCCCGGCTTCTTGTCCGGCAGCATCAGACTCTGCTCCTCCAGGATTGTGTCCAGGATGTAGTAGCTGCTCAGGTTGAGGGGCGGCGGCGGCAGCATCGGGGGCGGTCAAGAAATCGTGCAGTTCTTGCTCTCGTGCATGATCGCCGGCGATCCGCCGCACCCCACTCCTCCTCCGCCTCCGCCCACACCGACTCCTCCGGCGAGGCACGAGTCCTGGGCCAGCTTCTTCTTCCGCTCATAGGCCAGGGCATCGTTGGGCACGTAGGCCACGCGCACGCCGCCGTAGTGCTTCCGGGCCGGCAGGCGGTACACGTAGTCATCCATGTCGCTCGAGGAGCTGGAGGAGCAGGTGGAGCAGATGCTGGCCACGTCGCAGTTGTCCAGGTTGTTCAGCAGATTGAGGGCTCCCGGACCGGCCTGCGTCTGGGCGTTGTGCAGCCGGAGGTTGGTCTGGTTGATCTGCATCTCCGAGGAGCTGCGCGACTGGTTGCGACGTCGCCTCCGCCGGCGGGCGTTGGAGTTGTCTGTGTAGCTCTTGGAACGTGACATCGTGTCCTGAACGCTGTGGAAGCGCACCTCTTTCAGCGGCCGGTTGTCCAGCAGCTCCTCCTCCATCTCCTGCTCCTGGGCCAGGGCCAGCTGTGCTTGATTCCGGTTGCCGGCGAACAGCTGCTCGTAGCCATCGTGGGGCAGCTCCCCCACCGGCTCGTTGTCCAGCTCCAGCTCGTGGGCCAGCTCCTGGGTGCTCTGCGTCAGGTCCGAGTTGCTCGGCGAGTTCAGGTTGATCTTGTCGATGCTCTGGTAGCTGTGCGAGTCCTCGGCCTTCGAGAGCAGCATGTCCGGCATGGAGTTGGTCAGCGTCTGGGTGTCGCCGAAGATGGACTTGTCGCCGGCACAGATGTTGTCCAGACTGATGCCCAGCTCGGTGAGGTCGATGGGCGGCGGATGGGCGGGTCGTGGCATGCCGGGCACACCTCCTCCCAGCAGCAGGTCTGCCACTCCGGCGGCCTCCATGCGCTGCCGTTCCTGGCGCTCTAGCAGGTCGCCAGCACTGCCGGTGGCCTTCGGGTGGCCATGGTGGGGCGCCCTTCGCCCGGTCTCCCGCTCACCTCCCCCTGACCTTCGCGGGGACTTGGCTATCTGGCTGGAAGTGGAGGCGCGATGTGTGGGCCGCAGTTGGGGGCCCGAGCTCGTATCCGACGGCGTCGGCGGCTCACCCTTGCTGCAGGCGATGGAGCAGTAGATGGTGCCCCTCCGGGGCAGGAAGGGCCTCCCCAGCAGCGAACAGCGGCAGGTGCAGCAGCTGAAGCACTGGTTCGTCGCATGCCAGTGCTGTCCGTCGTGGCTCATCTGGCCCTGGTCCACGCCGATCACCTCGCCGCAGTAGTCACAGTACTCGGCGAACATGGTGTCGAAGCAGGCCAGGCAGTAGGGCTTGCCCTCCCGCATGATGTACCTCTGGCCGCCCAGCTGCTGCTCGCACTCCTGGCAGGCGAAGTGCTTCATGTGCCACGTCCGACCCTCTGCCTCTGTGCACTCGTCGGAGAAGATGATCTGAAACGGGAAAGAGCAGAAGGATGGGGTTTAGACTCACACAAGGAAAGAGTTTCGTTGCCCTTCGGAGGCCTTTAGGGGCCTTTAGGATTAGCTAGTGAAGGCATCTTTCTTTATACTACAAATACAATCACGTGATGACCACTCACCTCGTCACAGGCGGAGCATCGCGGCTTCTGGGTCTCGGCATGGTGACGCCCGCAGTAGAGATTTCCATCCCGCTGGAAGTAGATCAGGTCCACCAACAGCTCCTTGCACACGCTGCACACAAAGCAGCCGGGATGCCAGCACAACTGGGCCCCCAACCGCTGGGCGAAAACCACAATGTCACCGCCCGACAAAGGCTCCTCGCACTGGAAAGAAGGAAAGGACGAAAGTCGTATAAATAAGGCAAATATGCTAGAGTTCTTCGAGCGATAAAAATCTGCAGCGTCTGGCTGCTGCCTGCTGGGCGGGCAGAAATATTTAAGCGACTATAAATGCTAAATAACGGTAATAAAACGCTTAAGCTCAACGCCACAAGGCCCCACCATCCCACCGTTTCTCCGGATATGCCGGCAGCAAGCAAAGGACCTGTCTCCTCGGCCAAGGACTCTCGCTGTCGAGCTCTGCGGTTTTCTCTCTCGCCTCCACGGCGATTTTCCAAAGCGGAAATCATGCAAAAATAGCCGACGGCCACGCTCAGCTCACCCCCAAAGCCCAAAAGTACTCCCTGGTGGATAGCGAGGCACTTTAAGGACAACTGCCGGCTGCTGGAAAACCTCCTAGAGAGATGGAAAGCACGAGGAAAATGCGACGACCAGGAAGCGACGCTTTTAATGACTGCGAAACTGGCGAGGTACGCAGAGACTAGAGACTCGAGACTCGTTAAATCTAAACGCGTTCGCATAATGAACTCATTTCGGACCAAAAGGGTTTTCCGCTGCAGGCAAAGGCTTGCTGACTTCTAATCGTCCCGAAATGAAGGTTCTAATTGAGTTCGTTTAGGGCACACTATGAGGTTAGGAATAGGGGAAAAGTGGAAGTCACTTCAAGTCAGCCTTTTTCATAGGAACTATGAATAGGTGAAGCCATTTTGATTCCATTGGAGGTGCTATAGAAATCACTAGTCTTTGGAAGTCTTTGCCATTAGTTATATACTACAAAACAACACAAATTTACGTTGATTTACAAGCCTCAAAAAGTTCATTGCATTCCTTGTAATTCATGGTAATTCAATACTTTTACTTATGTTAATATTTACTATTTCAACTTGTTGGCTTTAATTTAATAAAATCTAAAGACATTTAATTTACACAAGTTGAAGGCAAGACACTTGCAGTTGCCGTAAACCAGAAACACATCCCAGTTCAGAGTTTCTGCCTATTTGCACCCCTATTTGAGGCAGTTGGCGAGATTGCTCGACGACGTCTCCGTGCTCACTTTTGCAGGCTTCTTCTGACTTGGAGCAGGCAAATTACCCAACGCCAAAGCCACCGCAGAGACACCGCAAGAGGTTCTGGGCCCCATTTTGGAGCCAGGAGCTCCTTAACTTTCCGGGCTATTAAACCTTGGTGCGGGCGGGCGATACTCCGCGGTATGTGTCCTCGCCCTGGACCGATATCCTCCAGCGAGTCCCGCAATCAGCATTTACTTTTGCAAGCCATTAAGCATTGACAGGCAACGGCTCCGTCTCCGGCTCCGAGGGCTGACTGCACGGGGTTGATAATTTCCCGGGGCGCAAGTAGCTGCCTCTATGCGTCGTTAATTGTTTGGCAACTTCAAAAATTTATCGCCTCGGGCCGAGGAATACGTAAGCGTAAAGACCCGGGGAACTGCGCAGTGCACACTTTAATTAGACAGCCTTCCCGCCCCAGCGATATCCTTGGCTAATGACGCATTGAAGGAGGCGTGGTCCTGGCCCTGCACTTTGGCCCTGGCTAACCGCAGAAACTCCGCAAGGAACTTTTGGCCCAGGAAGCGCTTTAAGTAGTTTCTGTGGCGAACAGAGAGTGCTAAAGTTTTTCGGTATACCCAAGCCTGGCCATTGATTAGTTTGTCGGAAAATCTGTGCACTTAAAAGGACATTTTTCATCGACTGTCTGCCCGGGTGAATGTCATGTAAATAACAGCAATCGCTGCTCATTTATCTTATCAATCCAATTAATCCCCGCTGGCTGCTGGCTCTGCGCCAGACAATTATGCTATTGACAAATTGTCACTGGCGGTGCCATCGCAGCACCTAACTGAACCGAGCTCGACCTGGACCCTGGACCCGGACCCGGGTCTGGGAGTGTCCTTGCTAACCCATTTCGTGTCCGGATTAATGCGACGAGGAGCGACAAACTTCGCAGGCAGACGACGGGGCAAGACGGTTTCCTGCCCCACAGCTCCAGTCCAATGCCGGAGCTTCCCCGAAACAGCAACTCAAATTATTAATGACGCTCGTTATCATGCCCTTTTCAGTACATAAACTTTTCGCTTAACAGCCACTGCGCTTTACCTTCCTTTGACTGGTTTTTCCCTTTGTTTGGCTTTGGCTACCTTGGCTGCACTGAGCGGAAATTTAAGATACTTCAAGTTGTTTAAGATTTAATTGTAGGGAAATAGGATATCATTGCTTAATATATATATTATCTGGTTTGACACCTACATTTATTACTGCAATATTTATACATAGATGATTTCTTTCTGTGTGGAAATATAAATATATTTCATGCAGTTGAGTGCCGAGTCTGAGATGGCTTTTCTTGTAATTATTTCATTGTTGCCAGGACGACCTTTAGTGTCACATCCTTGTCAAAACTTCAGCTTCCGCTCGGTGCTGTTCGTGTGGAAAATCTGTCAAGGAGTTTGGCCCCATCCTCCGCGCTCCTGGAATCCATTATTTTTTGGCAAAATCATTGCCAGTTGGCTGTGGCACACGTTGCGGCCCACGTTGCGACTCATTTACGCCTGACTGACTGCCGGAGCTTCCTCCCCTGCGGGAGACGGGATTCAGGACCGGGATTCAGGATCATTGAGCGTTTTCATAAATTTCCCCCATAATTCCTCCATGCTTTCCACGCCATTCGATTGGACGGTCCGGGGTTGAGGCCTTTGTTCGCATTTTAACGTCCGTTTAGCAAGTCAGTTATGGTCTGTGAATTTTAAGCACATTCGACGGATGGCTTGGGTCTTGGATTTCCAAATCCAAATCCTTTAAAGTTTATCAGATTTTACATGGCATCGAAGTAGAAAGTTTGTGAAAAAAAGAACGTCCACACAGGGTACGCCAATTTTGATAAATTATTACATTGTATTCAACCAATCCTTAACTGATTGAGGAAACAGCATGGATTTGATGAAGAATCATAGGGTAAATATCAAAAAGTTGAATTCAGGGAATGACAGTTTTTAAATTGAATTAATCTACAAGCTTGCCACTGAGTTGTAGTAACTTTAATACAATTTTAAAGCCATAAACAACTTTATTAAAAAGCTTTAACTTGATATTCTTGTAAATTCCTAAAATGCCTCATGCACTTCCATATATTTATGTTATGCCAAGAATCACATATACCATAAATATACACATGAGCATCAAGTTTTCTTGGCAAACTTCGCACTGATTATTCGGAACACTAATGAACTTCAACCTCCAACCTCAGAGAAGTGCTTGCGCAAGTTGGCTGGCCGTAATAAACCCGAGGCCAAATAAAACCAGACACTGCTCCGGAGGAGTCCCTATCCGCCGGATCTCGGATCCCCGTCCGCCCGCACACGTAGCAGACCAGACTGGGTCGGTCTGGAGTCGGCAACCAGGCCCAGACACGCAGCATGCGGCATAAAGTTTTTAATAAGTTTTACGAGTGGCGAATGTGAGCACAATAAAATCGAGCTGCCAACTATCTGCCGGCGAAGTGCGAAATGACCAAGTGCGCATCGGGATGCCGAAAGGGAGAGTCCTGCCATAACAATGCAAATTTCACTGTGCCCGCACTGTGAAAGGATGTAGAGTCGACATGCCATATGCCACATGCCACTGGCATTGTGCTTCCATCGCTGCCGTCGCTGGACGGCAACTCCATTCACTTTCCGCGCGAGGAAAAGCGCGAGTGCGACTCTCTTGGCCTTTATCTTGTCAGAGCCAAGTCCCTGCAATTGTTTCTGCAACAACGTCTCTGCTGCAAGTGTACTTAATGAAATCTTTTTGTCATCTTTTACTTCGAGACGTTTGAAAGTTGGCCCCACCCCCCGCGCTCCCGTTTCCTCTGTGACCATTGTTTTCCCGGGCCATTGTCATCAATTTTTTTTCTGTAGCAAGAAGGAATCTCTGGCGCAAAAACTTTGCCCAGCCAGGCAGAAATGAAATCGAAACGACTCTTCATCTTCTGCGCATAATAAAATGCAAATTTTCGCAACAATTAGGTGTGTGCGGGGGGAGGGAAAACGGGCGTTGGAAAACGTTGCTGGAAAAAGTTATTCTCAAACTTACCCCCTTGCAGGGTCGCTCGTCGGACAGCAGGCGGACGGCTCCGCGGCCGAGGGCCTCCCGCTTCCGCTGGGCCGAGAAGATGCGCAGCTCCTTCCGCTCCTCGTCGCTCAGCGAGTGGCAGTAGCGCACCTGCGAAGGACACGTAGACAAGGTGGAAAGGTGGAAAGTTAGCTCCTGTATTCCTGAATTTTAATTAAGGCCACTCAAAAGGCAGTGGCAAGTTTTTTAATCTCGCCGGGCCTTTTGTGAGATTTTCTTTGCGTTCTGTTTTCAATGTGCCCGCGCCGGGCTAATTATACATTTTTGTCACAACGAGATCTTGGGAAAGGCTTTTTCTAAAAGATTTTTCTTTTCGGGTAAAAAAGCTCAAAGGGAATATTTTAAGTTTTGGGTTATTTTAAATAATTATAATTTATTAAGAAAAGTAAAAAGATTCTAAGGAGATTCCAAAGTTAGAAGATTCATTAGTTAAACTTTACGAAAAGGTAAAGGTATTTATTTGATTTTACTTTAGAACTTGAGCTTTAGAGTCTTACCAAAAGGACTTGAAATACTAGGATGAGTAACTCCATAGCCAATTCAAATGTTTGGGCAGTCTAAGGTATTTTAGTAAACGTTATTCCAATGGTTATAGCTATACCTATATAAAACCTGATTCAATCTTAGTTTAAGCTAATTTCGCAATCTTCTTTAACTTAATTCAATAAAGATTAAAGTTATTTCCGTAATCTTTCTTATTTAATTTCAAATTTAAATGCAGTTTTCCGTCTATTCTATTCCTTTCTTTCCTCTTCCGGCCAATTGTAATTTTTTGCTTTTGGTTTACCAAGTTCCGTGGTCCTAACCGGACTCGCTTTTGTTCTAACTTCCACTAACTTCTTTTGCCTTTTTTTTACCAATACTCACCTCGTTATCTTGCGGCGGCAGCTGGTGCAGCAATTGCTTGACGCGATACTTTTCGCCGGGACTGTTGACGTAGGGCACTTTGTCGTCGGGCAGTTGGCTGAAGTACAAGCGGACCTGCAAAGTGGAAAATGGAAATGGGAAAGTCGAATTAGCTTCCGCACAAACTTTGGCACAAAGGAAAGTGTGCTCTTAAAATCAAATAAGACAAATCATAACGAATTTATCGAGCAGCTTTACGCCCACCAAGTCGTGAGAGGAAAATGTGTCGCAATCCCCAGGGGAAGTTGAGTCCGCGGAAAACAGAAAATCATTTGCTTTTCCCAGGAGCAGTTATGCAAGACTCCGCCCCGAATAGAAAACACAAAAAATTGACATGAATTTCAAGCTCTAATTGCTGCCAAATGTATCGGCAATTTAATTACAAACGCTTTCGCTTTCCACCAGATAGCTCAGTCCCGCGATTTTGGGAGCGATAATTTTTCAGCGTGTAATTAAAGTGGTTTCCCGATCGATTTCCTCAACCGCGCCAGTGGCAAGGCATTGAACTGGATTTGGGAGAGCGTGGAAAATCGACCGAAAGCAAAAGTGGCCAGCGGGTGGCCAAAGCCCGAGGCACATCCCATTCCGTGCCATGGCAGAGCCCGAGATTTCACTTAATTAGTTGCGACAAATCGAAACACATGTTGGGGATAATGACAATGATGAAGTTGGACTTTGATTGCTTCAGTCGATACCCTTAGGTGAAGTGGAAATCTTTCTCTCTTTAAAATAACATGAAGATAAATCAAATTTTAAACAGGGAAAATACGTTGAATAGTAGTATTCAAACATTTAGATGCTTATTTAGGACTCCTTCCTAGGGTATAGAACTCAATCGAAGTATGATGAACCATAAATTGGATGCTCTGAGCATATAGGTTTCACTCCTCACCTGATCTGGCCTTAGTCCCGGCGGCACCCACGTGTACTCCTCAAGGGCGCATCCGCTGTCGTCGTCCGACTGCGAGTTCCGCTGGAAGTCCAACTGCTGGTGGTGGTGGCTCGGGTGGAAGCCATGTCCCGCTCCCACCGCCGACGCCGTCTTGTAGGTGGCTGTGCGGAGCGGGGAGGCCACCGAATTCAACGGCAGATGGCTGGGCGGCTGGCAGTGGCGGCGCTGCAGAGGAGAGACAAAATGACTGCCGGCGGGCCCCAGGGAGCCGCTGCCGCCACTGCTGCCACTGGAGGAGGCCGAGGGCACGTCTAGGGCTTGGGTGGAAGTCTGCTGAGTGCCAGCCGACGGAGGCTGTGACTCCGGGCGGTGGGAGGCGTAGGTCAGGCCCGCGCCGCCCGCCTCGATCTGCAGCAGCTCGCTTTCCGTTTGCGTGTAGTAGCTGCTGCTGGGGGCTGCTGCTGCTGCTGTTGCTGGTGTTGCTGCTGCTGTTGCATGTTGCTAGTGGTGCGGGGTGCAGGCGTGGGTTTGTATTTGTTGGAAAATTGGCTGGACTGGATGCTGCAAAGAGGGAAATGGTATCGAGAAATTAATACAAGGTGTTGTAGATAATGAGACTAATATTAGTTATGCTTTCTGATTATTGTAAGTCAAAAATTCATTATAAGTTCATCAATGTAAAAGATTGGATAGTTTATTTTTACTACAGTTTTTGAAGGAAATATAGTTCATAGTATATAAAGTTATATAGATATAGTTCCTCAAACTTAGTCCTTAATTATCTCCTCTAAACTTAGCTCTTGAGCTAAGAACCCCATTGAAGTGAGGTCATATTTAATATGAATAAATCTTTTCAAAGATCTTAGATCTTTGCAAATCATTTCCGATTCCATCTCCATAGCTCCTCACCCCAATTAGGCCACTGAAGAGTAGGAAACCCATTCTGGTCGAGCAGCTTTTGGTTGCAATTACTGCAGCTGCGCATGCGTGCCCCTCCCAGGGGGTCGGTGGAGGCCGGAGTGACTGCTCGCTTGACCGCTGCCCACAGTGGCATCTTCTCTCTCTGCGCTTTCTGCGGCACTTTCACTCGATTCGTGGCACGCCGCGCGATTATGCAGCCAAGCAGAGACCGAAATCCAAGAAATTCCAGCATATGGTCATGTCTCTGGCTGTAATTCGCCTTTCCTAGTGGCCCGAGTGCTGCGGCAATTAAAGTCATTTGTTTGGCTCAGAGTCGAGCGCCGCTGCGACTCCGTGTGGGGTGTGTGAAATATTAAACTGTTTCACTGGCAGTCGTACGAGTTGCACAACATCCAGAGCATGAATAACGGCCACACGGGGCCATTAGGCCTTCAAACATTTTTGTTCGCTCTAATCAACGTGAGAAGAAACCCCGAATGGCGGCGATTTGTCTTCGCGTCTTGTGAACGTATGCAAATCAAAGACATCTCATCATCTCACAGTCACAATCCGACTTTAGCCTTGTGCTAATGAAGCCAGACCCCGGGTGAATGTGACCCCGCGCACTCGTACTGAGCCGGACGGATGACCAGGAGCCATTAACACCTCCAGATCAGTCAGCCAGCCAGCCAGAGACGGTGGAATGTGTGGCCATGCGAGCGAGGAGAAAGTTTTATGGCCGCCGCTTTTGTGGTTTTCCAATGCAAATTTCAGTTGTTCGCGCCGGCAGGTTCAGTGCCAAAAGCTGATCGATCGCCGCGTACTTTCTAAACAGTTTCGGGCCAGCCGTCAGCAAGACATGGCCAGAAGCCAGGGCGTAATCTGTCACCCAATGAATTGCCAATTGTGCTGCTGCCGATTGGGCCTGATAGCGGAAAACAGCGAACAAGCGCCGGGCCAAAAGAGCCACGCCACGGCAGATCGGATCGGATCGGATCGGATCGGATCAGATCCATTCAAATCAACACAAATCCCAGTCGCAGCTGCCAAATATGGCCAGCAGTGGCTCGGACTCGGCCTAGACGCTTTTCGAGTTTCTCTTTTCGGCCAGAAGGAAACCTGTTGACGCGGCTGTCTGCATGAATGCCGACTGCCTGCTTGCATTTCTGCATTAAACGCCAGTTGGCCAGGCGCAAAATACGCAAAAATGCCGCCTGTCCAACTACGGAGCACCGCCTGGACATATACATAAATTTGGGTTAAAAAGATTTTGAGTTTATTTGGTTTGATGCCTGTCATTTCCTTGATGGCCTGTCGCAATTGCGCACGTCTGAGGATAATTAAAAGTAAATTGTTTGACACTCAGATCGGATGGGAATGGCCTGGGAAATATGTATGGCTATAGCGGTCCGGTCTCTCGCCATTTTCGGTCCGAGTATTTTGAAGACACTTTTGGGAATTATCTGCGTTTATTCGTGCCGTCGTCTTATGTCTGAAATAATGCACTGGTTGCACTGAAAACTTCTTGAAGTGTGTCAAAAAATTGCGGTTAGCGGATGCTGGCTCATGATGCTCTTCAGCAGTGTCATATTATAATTTTGATTGAATATTTAAGCCAGCCAATTTGTTTCTACAACATCATTTCTAACATGTATCTAACAAAAAAAATTATTACATATACATAGCAAATAACATGCCCTATTACAGGTCTCTTCATCCCACATAGGTATGTTAGATAGTTTTTCTCAAGCCGTCGCTTCGCTTTTCACTTTCTATGGAAAGCGAGGTTGATATTAGGACCGAGTAATATAGGTTTTTCGATGAGGCAGCAATAGTAGTAGTAGTAGGCTGTTTGCTTTTCCTTTTCGGACCATTAGTCACCTGCAACACTTGTAATTGTCGTAATCCATTTATGCTCTGTATGCGTTTCACACGCCCATAAGCCGTTCCAGGGGCCATTCCATTCGAATCGATTTATCTGGCCGCTTTTCACATCTCCAATCTAATCCAATACAATCCGATGCTCATTAACGGACACTTGGGCAATTTCAGCACGTCTCGCGCTGCTCAAATGCCAAATCGCAGCTATAATAATATCTCAATTATGTGCAACACCACAGCATCGATGGCATTTCTATTCGTTCCACGATATCTCGTCGCTGTGTTTCCACGATTTCATTAAATTTTAGACACGCAGTTTCCCCAGAAAAAGCCGCAGCGGGAACACGTAACTGGTTCAAAACCATTTGGGCTCTCGGAAAACCCGGGGGAAACCCGTTCTCCGACGGGGATCCGACGGGGATTCTGGGAACTGCCGGTGCACTACGACACCGAACGGCAGCAATTGAAATTAATACGTAACATGCAATTCCTAATAATTGAACAGAGAGTCCGGCCAGGCAGTCCGCATTAAATTACTTTCACAATTGGCCGAAAGATAAACGCCCGTCTAGGCCTGCTTTAGGCCTGGCATTAGGCCCAGTAATGCTTGATTATCCGTGGTCAGCACACTATCTGCGATCGGGGATCCCCGATTTGAGATCCTGAGATGCCGATGCCGATGCCGATGCCCAATCCAGAATCGCATTTATTTCTGGCCCGGGGGCGTGGCCCAGTGCAGCTCGGTTCAGCGCAGGGCCATTACGAAATCTCGTTCAATGGCCCCCCAACTCGTGACCTTGTTGCATTGCGTGTTCCATTGTTGGGTCGCTCCGAACAACTCCCAAACGGAGCCCCTCAAAACGCCACAATTTATTGCCCTGGCATGGCCGGGTCTCGGGTTAAACTGCCGCGTTTGACTGCCTTTACGTCACACGAATAACCATAATCCCATCCGATCCATTCCGAGTCAAAAATGAGCAACAAAAAAGCCCGTACATGCAATCGCGTCATATGTTGCACGTGTTGCTGTCGCTCAGCGTTTTTATGCGCTTCCCTCAGCTTCTTCGCTTTCTTTATGGGTTTTTGTACGAGACCGGGCACATTTTGTGTGCCTGTCCGCGGCTAGACCTCACCTGGAATCGGGACATGGGGATGGGATGGGTATCGCATCTGGCTGGGATTGGGCCTGGCTTTAAAGCCAGTCGGGCCCGTTGCACGAGTTCCTCGCGTCCCGCGAGAATGTGTGTGAGTGTGCTGCAACGCCTGTTTAAGTACCGCGTGGTGATTTAGTGCACTCGTACCGTTAGGCGTTATTCGTTATTCGTTATTCGTTATATACTCATAGTGAGCAATATAGCGTACGATCCGATCCAAGGCGACCAGGGACGCTGATAAGCTATAAGCAATGAGCAAACTACACAACGTCTTCCAGAGGCTCATGCGGAAAATGAATTTCGAGGGGTTAATGCAAAAACTATCATATTTTCTCATTGTTTTAGTTTTGATTCAGAATGGGCTGTTTGAATAATTCAAAATGTATTTCAACTTTAGACTATAAGCTATATGACGAATAATATGTGTATTGCTTATAGAATACAATTGACTTTAGTTGTAGAAGGAACGTAAAACAGTATACAAATCTTAAGATTCAGTGTGTAAAGGCGAGCTGATCTGAAGGCTCAAGAATACATAAACACTAATAAAATAGAACGATGAAACCCATGGAGTTACACATCTTAACCCTCATAGTTTATTTACTTGGACTAACTACTACTCTACTTAGTACATGAAAGGAGATATTTTGTAACTATTAACTATCGAATAACGAAGCTCTTAGATTTTAGTATTAAGCTTGCACTAAAATCAATAAGCGAAATACAAATGATACAAGCTGAAAGAAAATAAATACTGGTTTATTGGTTTATTTTATGGGTAATTTCCATTCATTTACATTAAAATTTTAAATTAAAATCATTTGCCTTAAGCCCCCATTGTCCCCGTTTACAGCCACCCCTGGCACTCAAGTCAAACAAGAGCATCTGCTGCTGCAGCATCTGCGCCTTCAGCAGCATCAGCAGCAGCATCGGCAGCAACAGCGGCAGCGGGTAAAATGCATAATTAATCGGCGCGGCCAAAAGAAGCAGAAGCAGCCGGTGCATTTGGCCTAGGCCAGCCCACACTCGCGGTTTTAGAGCGAGTTGCTAATGCCCATACTGCCGCTGCTGCTGCTGCTGCTGCCGCCTCGCATGTTGCATGTTGCAGGTTGCATGCAGCAACTGCGCTCAAGTCGGGTTTGAGTCGAGTTTTTGAGCCGAGCTGATTCGCGTTCCGTCATTAACAGCTTTTGCTTAATTTTATTCAGCCAGCCACTGCCACTGCCACTCCCCTTCCGCCTACCGCCAGCCGCCCCTCTTGCCGCGCTGTCAACAGCTCCGGACACGTTTCAGCGATTTTCATGTTGCATGGCTCGCTCTAATTTATGCAAAATGCTGTTCTTCTTCTGTAATTCAACTCGTGTATTCGCTCGCTACATTTTGCTCTTTTTTTCGAGGGGTACTGCCACTTTTTAGCGAACTTCGGCCAACTAGTTTGCTTTTGCTGGCTTCATTAGCCCCCAAGTTGATGGCCAAGTTTTTGTTGGTTTGTTGATCTGGCTGCTGCTGCCTTATTGATTTCCCCGGCCAAGCGGTATTTATTTGATTTTAACTGCTTTCGAACAAATGGAACAATGTTCCACGATCAATGATGGATGGATGAATGGATGTGGTGGGGTGGTAAGT